GCTTTAGCGGTTATATCTAATCTCAGTAACTCACCGATAAATAGCTGATCCTGATATAGCAGATATTGAAGTATTTTTCACATGAGAAAGGTGTGGTTTATAAATTCACAAAACTAAGAATTTTCTATTATAGATAATAGCGTCACTTGGAAGGTTGTCACTTTCTAAACCTCTTATGGATTTTTTAATCATAGTGTTGTTTATTTCACATCCTACGAACTCATTAAGAGAGTTTTTAAAGAAAAAATTTTATATTCAGCATTTAAGATTTAAATTGTTGGAATTTCAGTGCTTCAATTCTTTAATATATGCAAGTGCTATACACTTATTCTTCAAGAACTTACTTTTACATATAGTAATATCTCATAAAAATGTTTCTTCTTCCATAAACTTCAGTACATGGTTCATTGTTTCGTAACACTAACTATCTGTAGGTAATAAAGTTGCCGATGTTTAGATTAACACAAGAAACTACTTTGCTATAACATTCATTTTAAATAATGTGAAATTCATATATTATGTATAATATATTCTATAATATATAAACAATGATGTATTTTTCAATTTAAAAATTAATTTAACTATTATTGCCACCACTGTATTATTTCATGATAATAGCAAATAAATATATATCTGCATCTGAAAATGAATTTTCTTCCCACATAGGTATGACAATATTTAAGCAATTAAGCAATGTTTATAATTACAACTAAATATATTTATGAACTTTTAAAACATACATAATTTAAATATTTAATTAACGTAAATTAAAACTGAATTAAATTTTATGCTCTCAATTTTAAAAGTCTAATGGCTCAATAAATAACATTTTACCGTCCTTTTTATAAACGCAAACATTTCTAATGGCAGAAACAAAGCCCATTACAGTGAATCACCCACAGCCTACTAATTTCGTTGGCTGAATAAAAATTGCAGAAAATAATTACTTCCCGATTAATTTATGCGATCTACACAATAAAATTGATCTACTCAGTTCAGATTATATTTTCAAACAATTTAATTATGAAGACAAAATTTTCAGCATTTTTATTTTAGAATTTTCTTCCGATCCTGCTACATTATTTAGAATGATACTACATAATCCGCCAAAAGTATTATTATTTGTTAATAAATCGAAGAATAGCTTTATTTGAAAAGTTTACAGAACTAATATAACTTCTTCACATGCGTTGTAAGGCTCAACAGACTTGAGGTTCCACAAAGTGTGGATTACATATTTCAGTTATTTGCTCAGCGCCTACCCACTGCGCTCTGTCGATGGAAAATTGCGCTGACTGTCAACCTTAGTGAGCCTGAATTTACGACATAACAATTAATTTCAGATAAAAAATTAAATTGGTTTTGCTTAATTTTCCGAAATAACAAGTTTCGTTCACTTTTCGCCAAAGGAAAGTTTGCAAATATGCAATTTTATGTACTTTTAATGCGGATCAGCGCAGCGAAAAAATTAAAAATTTTATTTGAAAAATATTTTTATATTCTTCCTGAATTTTTTGCATGTGGGTTGGCTTTTCCATTTAACATTATTATTCATTTATTAACTTTTCTAATCTTATTTGCCTCGAAAGTAAAATTTTCGATTAAAACATTATATTATTTTAAGAGTAAGATATTGATTTAAAATTCTTGACAAAATTGAAAGCATCTCTTTCACATAACTATTGTTATCCATACTGGTTACAGACATTTCATTATCTTAACCAATAGTTTTCACAGGTTTCAAGTATTTATTTCCATTTTATTCTATTATCGCTAAGTTATGTTATCTTTAAATGTGTTATATTTTTCATTCTATTCAGCTTCCATCATACTCTCTAACAAGCAATCTTCTCCTTGTCTATTTAGTTATCGTCATCCAATTGTTATCTAGCTTTCATAGGTTACAATATCATACTCAATATATAGTTCATGTTACTCTTAGTTGTATTTTATTTATATATAGAGTCATAAATGTATAGTATATTCTTCAAAGGGTTTTATAAATAAAAGTGGGCTTTATAATTTATTAGTAAATCTTAATTTTAATATTTCCATGCTAAACATTTTTTTTAATCTTTTGAGAGACGAATTATATATTAGTTGCTGAGTAATACAGTATTATCAGTACGATTTTATTATTGCATATGGGAGTATTCCGATTTCCATATGGGCTGTTGCTTGCTACAAGTAATTGTACATTTGTCATTGGAAGGAATTGTGCTTTGAATAAAGTTTGAGAAAGCTTTTTACCTAGAGTTACGGTTCTAGAGTTTTTAATTTATTTTAAGTAAGTTATTTCAAAGTGGATTATACTGTCTGAAATTATACTTTCAAAATAAATTCGTTTTAATAATCATTTTAGTTTTTTACTAAGCAGAGTGTTCAGAGAACTGAATGATATTACTTTTCTTTATTGCTTCAATGACTTTTTTTTGGTTTTTATAAAATAAAAATATTTATAGAGAGGTTTCAAACAGTAGTGGACTGCAACAACAAAATTTTTATTTATTTTTAATTAAATGAATTTTTAGCTGACCATGCAATTGTTTCGAGTATTGCAAAATATCTATCACCAGTGGTCTTGGAATTATTATTTATATTTAATAAATAGTAAATAATTTTTTGAAACCGCCAAAAATGGTTCAAAGGGTTAAACTCGTACCCTGCCAAATTTGAAGCTCAAAGTCAGTGTCTGACTATCTAATAAAATAAGGTTTATAATAAGTAGCTGATTTTAAAAAATTATTTTGTATTTAAGTTTTATAAGTTTTACTGTATGTGTCTTAATTTGCGGAAAGGGACTATAAAGTTTCATACGATTATTTTGTTAAGTCAGTACACTACTAACATTTTAAACAAATAGATATCACTAAATTCATTCATCCCACGTATTTAAAATACGATTTATTTTTTTACATTATTACCAATTGATCAATCTGATTTGATCTGATCCTATAATTTGCTTATTAAAGAATTATTCAGATTTATTTGAAACTTAATACAATTATTTGGACAAAAGTTTAAAACCATATTGTATGTAAAGTATGTGAATTTTTGTTGAAAAATCTATTATCTATCGTTATCTATTATTTAGAATAACAAATTTTTCAAACAAAAATAAAATACAAATTTTATTTATTAATGAAATTAATTATATAAAGCGATAAGTAATTAATTATTTAGTTTTAATTGACGAATTCGCGTTCATCTATTTTATTAAGCTTAACTTTGGAATCCATTATTATGCCATTATTATGATTATTAACAGCTAATGTTATTTCATTTTGAATATTGTTTTCATAATTAATTAATATTTTCAATAAGTATTTTATGGTCCTATGTCCTTTTCTATGGATTAGTTTATATTTCTAGTTAGGACTAACAACTTTTGCAGCAGCGGTCGTCTAAGACTAAGTACAATGAACCACGCACTGGAGAAACAGTTCAAAATTTTAAATATGTTTATGAAAATCTATGGTTTAAGTGCTTGTGACTACAATAAATCGAAACAATGTTTTGTAAAATCAAAGATACTGTACATATACAGAATATTTTTACATCTCTTCATCGTCCTGCCGATCGCAGCGTGGCTTTTGTTAAATATTGTGGCTACTGTATTTTATATGATAAAA